GGGGGGGGCTTTTAGTGACCGAGGGCATTTTGTTGAGGACGATGGTGTCGGGAGGAGCGAGAGAGTGAGGGCATTGCCAATTAGGCCATCAGTACTTCCCCTTTAGACATGCACCTACAGGTAGTAGGTAGGTAAGTGAGTGGCTGCCTCCCTGGCTGCACCAGGCGCTGCGCCATGCTGAGGTTGGTCACGGCTTCGGGCAAGTAGCTTGCAGCAACCTCCCGGGCCGGTCGCAATGGGGCACGAACAGCCAACTTATTACAGTGCGTTTAGTGGCAGGGGCGGCCACAGCTGGATTATCATGTGCTTGGCGTCTCCCGCCTATCCCGAGCCCCCTTTCCAGCGGCTCTGTGCATTTGCTGTCACTAGGGACTGTTCACCCATGCCCGGATACAACAAATGGAGCTGTTCGTATTTGCATATGCACACCTCACAACACGGCGTGCTTACCTGTCTGTCCCCTTTGTATGCTCCCAGCCCTATCTAGCCTGGCCTAGAGCTTTCCGAGAAGCTCGCTGACCCTAGAGTAGAGATCGTCCACTGACACAAACTCTTGGACTCCGAGCTGGCGACACTGCACTTCGCACCTGCGCGTTTTCCCCCACTCGTTGCCCAGCACGACAATGACAGGGTATCCCATCAAGTCTGCATCCTTCAGCCTCCATGGCAAACTCCGGTCGCGGTCGTCCAGGAGCAGGTCCAGTGGGGCCGTCGGAGGCGACGCAGCGTCTCGGCTACTGCCACCTCTGTCCAACATGTCGTACACCTGCACCGCCTCCTCGTCAAGGTTCGTGTGCGCCAAGACAGCAACCTCGTACGGGGCGATGGCCCGGGGCCAGTTGAGCCCCCTATCGTCAGCCAGGTGATCTGCCACGGCACCCATGATCCTCGACACCCCGATGCCGTGGCAGCCCATCTGCATGTTCACCTTGATCTCATGCTCCCCCGATCCCCTGGCGGCGGAGTCGGCCGCCGAGCACGGTGTAGCCGCTTGTTCGTCTTGGTCGATTTTCGAGGATGGGACATTAATAGAGGCACCCATAGGCTCCGAATATCTGTCGCCGAGATGGAAGGTATGCCCCAGCTCGATGGCCTGCGTGACCTTCAGAGCGCCCGAGTCGCATTTTGGACACGGATCTCCATCTTGGATTGCCAGGAGGCGAAGCTGTTCGCCGTGCTTGTCGTTGGAGATGAATTCAGGCAGAGGAACATCCAGCTCCGCTGCGGCTTCCTTCCGAAATGGTAGAACAGCTGATGCTATCTCTTCCTTGGCCAGGGCCCGAATGTTCAGATGGGCGATACTACCATCAACCAGGTTGACGAACCGTAGTGATGGCCTCGGGCCCGCGTAAGAATCAGCCGACCCTCCTTCGACCTCCTCGGGCGGCCGGAGAGCAGCCCACCAGCTGTCAGAGGCATCCTCAATGCTGGTATCGATGTTCGGAACGAGGCGTTTGACAGCATGGATGTTCACACTCTCTGCATCGCGGGCAGGCCCCGAGTACCAGACGTTGACGAGCGTACGTCTATCCTTTGATATACCGCGCCACACTTTGACATCTGCAGACGTTGGCTTTGGAATATCCGGGTCCTGGCGTATAGACAAGGAGGTCTCGGCCACCTCGGAGTTTGCTGTGTAGCCACAACCATCGCACTTGATGACATCGTCTTCGCCTTGGGATGTCACCAGGTGGTATTCGTGACTGAGGTCGCCTCCTATGTCTCCCGAGCTGGCCTCGGCGATCAACACTGGGAGGCGCAGCTCAGAAAACAGTTTATCGTAGGCGGCGCGGACTTCATTGTATGTCGTCAGGGCACTCTTGATCGAGACATCGAAGGTGTATAGATCTTTCATCATAAACTCTCGAGACCGTAGGAGCCCTTTGCGCGGCCGGAACTCGTCGCGATATTTGCGCGCTGTAACAAATTATCAGTAAACGATGTGCACGTGCAAGGGTCGGTATGACGAATACGCTGGCATACTAATTTGGTATACCCTCAGTGGAAGACTTTTGTACGAGACCACAGTCTGCCTTACAAGACTCGTGATCTCCTCTTCGTGCGTGGGAGACAGCAGGTAGGGTGTATCTTTACGATCTACTAGTTGGAACAACTAGTAAGTCTCCATTAGTTTTTCGATTTGCCCCGGCTAGTGTATCACGTCTTATACATACCTCCGAACCGATCTTGTCATAACGTCCACTCTTACGCCAGAGGCTGGGTGAGGAAATGGCAGAGAGGGATACTCTCGAAGCCCCTGGGTACACGCATCAGAAAAATGCAATGTAGGCCCTTGACCTGCTGGGATTGGGTACAGAACATGCTCACCAATGCTTTGCATGTGTTTGTCAATAAGACGCTTTATCTTCTCCTGTACTCTGAAGCCCATCGGCAGGAGATGGAAGATTCCAGCGTGTGCCTGGTTGAGTCCCGTGAGTATAAAAGCCAGAATAAAGACAAAAAGGGGGCAGGATGTATGAAGAGCGTCCATACACACGTACTTGGCGGAGGAAGCCGGCACGGATGAGCTTTGAATGCCCATCTGAATCAGCCCTGTTAGTGTGTGGTCTGGTGCCTTACAAATCTCGGCGCGAGTAAATGGAAGACATCCGCACCTTCTTCGGCTTTGCGATTCCTATCAGTCACGGCGCCTTGTGGAACATAGCTGTTCTGCAGACGGACTCGGTGATCAAGGTGAACAGCACGTGCCTTTGATGGCGACAGTCAGTTGAGAAATGTCTTCATCGACCTTATGGTATTCTGCCTCCTTCTTTTTCTTGGTGATGTAGAGCTTTTTTGCAGCGACCAGTACGTACTGATAATCTCTGACACGCCAGGAGGTTCGTGGTGCCGGATGGGCTCCATGGCCCCAGGCGCAGTCTCGCCAACATTTGGGGGGTGGTAGTCGGCTCAGTGAGACAACAAACTCAAGCCCAGTTGAAGATAGCGCCAGTCATGTCTTCCCACTCGCACTGAGTAATATCGCCGAGCAACCGTGTGTAAGTGGTTCTGGGTTTTGTCAGGTTCTCACGAGGTTTTTCTCTTGGGTTTGCGAGCTTGCGTCTCCAATCAGACCCAGGATTTGGTAGCCTCAATTGGCTGTGTGCACACAACAAGGAGCCACGCGCTTGGGCCGACATCCATGCGGTGCAGAATTGCATCGTTCCTCGTCACGGTCCCGGGGTAATTAGCCGAACCGCAAAAAAGAGCCTCCCCCCCCCCCCCTGAACGCTGGCAGAAAAAATTAAGCTGCAACTTCCAATAAACAACCAAACCATAAAGTAGATAGAAGAAAATATAAATAAAAGTATAAATACATAAAACGTAAACGTGGCTTTTTTCTTACGTTTATTTTATTTAAATCGGATTTTCTTTGCTTCATTTATCGCAAACGGCGTTGGGAACTTTTTGCGGTCAGATAATTATTTGGGAAGCGTGCTCGTGAACAAGGGTCCCCAGTCCAACAGCGCAAATTATGGGTCTTGAATGCACCCTGGAGCTTCTTGCACCCCACCTTTGACATCCATGGCGCTATGGAAAAAAAAAGTTTGGAAGCTCTCGATGTCGCGAAGCGCACCGCGGGCCCAAACAAGATCGAGATTTCCGAGCGCAATTGCCACTCATTTGTCGCCCGGCATGGCTGGCTCACACAAGACCAAGGCCCAGAAGAAGGGCCCGTCTACAAGACCCTCGCTGGACGAGAATGCGCTGTCCCAGCTCACATCCAAGATTGACAAAGCTCTGTCAAAATCCGAGGATAAGTCGCGGCCAGGAAAGCGCAAGAGGCAGGACGACGACGAGAAGCGCGCGAAGCCGCCCAAGCGACAGCCGGCCCCCGATAGCGGAAAGAAAGGCGCCGACGAGAGCAAGGATGCAAAGGACAAAAATGCCCTTCTATTGCAAGATATCAAGGCCCTCGGTGGCGACGAGGAGGACCTGGACCTCGTCGTTGGCATAGACTCGGACGCCGAGGAGGGGGCTGCAAAGCCAGTCGAGCGGGAGTTGGATGACGCATTCAAGAGAGAACTGGCAAAATTTGCCTCGGGTCTGGGTTTTGAGAATGTGCGGGACGATATGGAGGACGAGAGTGGCGAAGAGGACGAGGCTGGGGACGGCCCGCAAGATGAATCAGACTCGGAGCCAGAAGAGGAGTCTGCGGATGAGGACGAGGCTGATCAGCCTGTGCCTACACTCACACCAAAAGCCCCGGTCCCGGCCCCGGCCCCGGCCCCGACCAAGGCTCCGCCAACCGCGGCCAAAGAGCCGAGCGCGCCGGCAGAGAAGTCCAAGGACCGCCAATGGGCCGGGAAGTTGGTCAGTAAGCCGCCCAGATCTGCGCGCAGGCCCATGTCGCATGATGCTGATAGAAATCCTAGATAATCGAGCCCCGTCCAGACTGGCACGCCGCGACTCGAGAGGACCTCCCCGCTCCTTCAACCGATGAGGTCGCCAAGTTCGGCTCCGCCATCGCCAGCCTCAAGGCCCATGCCCAGTCACTTCTCGACCAGGATACGGCAGCTTACAGCTCCGCGACGTCCTCCTCCTCGTCACACAAGTTCATGACGACCATCATGACGTCCGGAACATTGTCCGACAAGATCTCGGCACTAACCCTGGCTGTGCAAGAGTCGCCTGTGCACAACATCAAGGCACTCGACAATCTTCTCACTATGGCCGGCAAGAAGAGCCGGAGCCAGGCTATTTCGGCCCTTGGTGCGCTCGTCGATCTTCTGGGCAACGGCGTGGTCCTCCCGAGCGACAGACGCCTGCGCACCTTCAACAGCCAACCCGGCCTGCTAGGCGCTCTTCAGCAGACCTCGGCTACTTCGTGGAAGGAGGGCCAGGCCCTTCCTAGAGGGCTAACTAAGGCGCATCTGGTCATGTGGGTCTACGAGGACTGGCTAAAGTCTGCATTCTTCAAGCTTCTTCAACTGCTTGAGGTCTGGTCGGGCGACGAGATCGACTACTCGCGCTCAAGAACCCTCGACTTCATATTTGGGCTTCTCAGGGATAAGCCAGAACAGGAGGCCAACCTGATGCGACTGCTAGTCAGCAAGCTCAGCGATCGTGAAGGCAAGATTGCCTCGAGAGCCTCGTACCTACTGCAGCAGCTTGTCAACACACATCCGGGCATGAAATCTATTGTCATTCGGTCCGTCGAGCATGAGGTCTTACTTCGACCGGGCCAGAGCCTGCGGGCCAAATACCACGCCATCAACACGTTGAACCAGACCATCCTCAGCACCAAGGAGCCTGAAATCGCGGACAATCTTGTCCGGATTTACTTTGAGATATTTCTATCTCTCCTCAGGTCTGGCAGCCTTGGCATCTTCGACCACCTGAATGAAAACGCAGGGGAAGACAGCAAACCGTCGCAGAAGAAGCCACGCGGGAAGAAGGATAGGAGGCCCGGCGAGCAGGGCGCAACTAACGAGCAAGAGCAAGAGGTCGCCCAGAAGCTGGTGTCGTCTGTTCTCACCGGTGTCAACCGGGCGATACCGTTTGCGATGACCAACGAATCGACGTGAGTACATCTCTGGATTTCCCGCTTTAATGTTGTGCTATGGGGTGACTGATCAGTGGCGCAAATATGTATACAGTCTGGAGGCACAACTCGACACCCTGTTCCGCATCACGCATTCGTCGAATTTCAACACCAGTGTCCAGGCGCTCATTCTGATCCAGCAAATTGCGGCGTCCAAACATTTAGCTATCGACCGGTTCTACAGGACACTCTACGAGTCGCTGCTAGACCCACGTCTCATGACCTCTTCAAAGCAAACTCTTTATCTGAACTTGCTCTACAAAGCACTCAAGGACGATGTCGATGTGCGCAGGGTCAAGGCGTTCGTGAAACGGATGCTGCAAGTGGTGAACCTGCACCAGCCATCCTTCATCTGCGGGATTCTGTATCTTATTGCCGAGCTTGAGGGGACCTTCCCAGACGTCAAGACGTTGCTCACCGATCCTGAAGACAACGAGGATGATGGCGAAGAGGTATACAGAGATGCCGATGCCATGGATCAAGACAAGCCGGCGGCCAAGGCGGATGCCACAAAAAGCACAACATATGATCCAAGGAAACGAAACCCCGAGTTCAGCAACGCACATCGCAGCTGCCTATGGGAACTGGTATGTTTGCCAACCAAGAGTGCGGGAGCAGGACACACTCAATTCTAACACGCACAATAGGTTCCATACTTCAGCCACTATCACCCCTCGGTTGTGGTGTTTGCCAACAATCTACTCGTCAGACAAAAGTCGCTTCCCAAACCTGAGCTGGCGAATCACACCTTGATACAGTTCCTGGACAAGTTCGTGTACCGCAACGCCAAGGCGACAGAGACAAAACGGGGCGGGTCCATCATGCAGCCAGTCATGGCTTCTGGAGCAGCAGCTAGCGCGGTCAGCTCGGGCAAGGGCGCGACGAAGACGCCCTCAACGCTCAACACTGAGGCGTTCTGGAAGCTCAAGCCTCAGGACGTCGCTCCGGAAGACGTGTTCTTCCACGAGTACTTCACGCAGGTCGGCAAGTCGGGTCAAAAGTCGAGAGCGGCCAAGCGCGAGCAACAGAGGGCCGAAGAGGAGGCAGACGACGATGAGGCAGGGGAGAATGAGGCGGAAGACGAGATCTGGCAGGCTCTGGTGGACTCTCGTCCCGACATCCAAGGCGACGACGACGGAGACGCTGACATGGGCTTCAGCGACGGTGATTCTGATCTGGCTTCGCTGCTAAACATGAGCGACAGCGGAGATGATGATAACGGTAGTGACGATGAGGGCGGCGCGGGGCTCAAGTTCTTGGACGAAGGGGCTGACGGAGGCGTCGAATTCAACGACTTCAGCGACTCGGAAGAGGAGGCAAACAAGGAAGAGTCCGCTGAAGACGACGATGTGGCTCTCGACCCAGTTGCTCAAGCCAAGCGGGAGCGCAATAAGAAGAGCAGGATGCGCAAGAAGGAGCTCAAGGCGATGCCAACGTTTGCCTCGGCTGAAGATTATGCGGCTATGCTGGCTCAAGAGGAGGATGATGTCTAAATTCTATGTTGCGAGCCAAACATACAGTAAGATAACGAGTTGCATATACCAGACACACGTTTGGCTTGATAAACCGACTTCGATGCTGAACTGTACAGAGCATGCCCCTGAACACCTTGCTTGGGTGGTATCTAGCGCGTTTCGGATGGTCCATTGCTTGGCCCAGTTCCAGAGCAGCACAACTAATGATGTCACCCACCCACGTCAGCCCAGTCCCCTTTATTGCCAGCCTCTCAAGGGCCAGGCCCTTTGGAGAACATGAAACAGCAACGGAGACGACACACTGCTGCGCGCCTACCATAATGCGGGGGGAACTGGCCAATAGGCAAATTCCCCAATGGTGGCACACCCCGCACCCCATGTGCTCCCACGCGTCACCGGATATGTCATTAGAGAGCCAGGAGGGGAAGGCTCGCGTATTTCTTGGAAGAGGTGACACGACTGCTGTCAGGAGAGGGTGCTTTACCATGTGATATGAAGGGGCGATTACTATTTATTCTGTTTTGCCCCGACTTCCTTCCCACCTGCAACAACTTCACTGTATCTATCACCACTGTAGTCTCTGAAGCTCCCGTAGCGCATCGGCCAGAATCCAATTGGAAGCAACAAATCCAACACACCTTTACGTGCTGCATACCTATCTCTCCACCTGCGCTCCTAGATATCCACAGGAAGCCCACCGCATACAGCTCCCATCATGGTAGGTTGACACCTAGAATGACGAGCCAGGCAAGGCGCTAACCCTAGCCAATGTACAGGCCAGTGCCGAGACTGTGGATCTGAGCGAGGCGCATGCTCCCAGACAGGAGTCCCTCCGGGTTTTCGAGGAGCTCCAAAGCGAGCTGAAGCAGGAGTTGATCAAGCTCCGTCACAACCACGACAGTAAGAAAGGCCACACCCACAACATCCGTCCCCCTTCCTTATATTCCTAATCCAACCCCCGAGCGCCACCCCGTATCCAGAGCACGAGCCCGAGTACTTCGCAGCGGTGCGCGACCTAAGCGACCACGAGCTGGCGGCAGCCCTTGCGGTCGAAAACTTCAAGGAGGTGCGAGTAGCGACGTCGGCGTACGGCATCCACCTCTTCGGCAAGGTGAGGATCCCGTCCATGCCCGCCGACGGCCCGGCCTACATTCAGTTCCGGCTCTTCTCGACCGGGTCCGACGACCCGGCAAGGTTCCACGCCTTCCACACCGAGGAGAAGGAGGAGGAAGGTGGCGGCAAGACGTTCCGGGCCATCTTTACGGATCGGGATCCGCTGGAGTGGTTTGACAATTAGGGAATGAGAGATGGGGATCGAGGGGAAGGCGCTTAATTCGCGATTGTATCTGCTACCAGCCGCTGCCCAGATGAGAAAATAACCAGGTGCAATACTTTCAGCCCTCGAAACACCCTCACTAGTACATACTCGGTATATCTCAGCGGCCTTGATGAAGACTCCGGGCTCCGAAAGATGACGAAGGCCACTCCCACCATTAATGGTAGTGCCCCACAGCCCCACTCGATATAGTTGTGCCGAGGCTCGACCACTTGTCAGCCAAAAGCTCCCAACAAGAACTAATTCGAGTCAGCGCTCAGGAGCTATCGCATCCTCCGCCACCCGACAGCCAGGTACAACCAATTGACCGAGCACCTTATCACCTCGGCTTTTTCTCCGCGCAGGTAGATCGCCTCACCCGTAGATTGGTAGGTGCCGCGTAGATGGGCTGTGTGGATCGCCGCAGTTCCACTCGGATCGCAGCGCCGTCCCACTTACCACGGCATCGCCTTTTTTGGGGACTGTCCCCGAAGCCTGAACGCGTCTCTTCTAGAAGACGCCGATTCTTACACCGCCGGTTCAGCCTAAGAAAGGCCATGCCAGTGCCCCCTGTCCCGGAGAGTGGGTAACCAGGCATGATTGCCGGGAGATAGGTATCCAGAAAAAACGCAAGAGAAAAAAAAGGTTGTATATACAAAGCGGCTGCTGCCGCCGCTGTGCTCAACAAAATGGCGGGCCGTCTCAGACTCGGCGCTGCCCCTTCCTCACTGTCACATCTTATCAGGCCCCGGCCTTCCTCCCACTGCCACAGTCAGTTCGTACAGCCCCTCTGGCGGACAAGGCACGTTCAGCTCTCTAGAATTTCCACCGGGGGCTCAGGAGGCAAAGCAGGTAGGCGTCATCGCGGTAGCTTCTACCACTGTCCCTCTCCCCGTCTACTCTCTACCTAGACACGGACGAACAGGCGGACTGACACGAAATCGTCTGCTTTGCTCACAGGCTCCGCTCCATCACGGTCGCTTCCGAGGCGCATACTATCTCTCGCCGGACGCGGGATCGTCCTCACGTTTGTTGGATACATGATGACTATGGCAGCGGTTCTCCCGGCGGCGCAGGAGATGGTCTCCCCGCCGACCAGCGAGGAGACGCTGCGGGCGTACACGCCGCCCGACGCCGAGGCGCAGGCGGTGGAGGACCACATCAACGCGCACCCGACGGTGGCGGAGCTGCGGGCGCGGCCCGAGCTGACCGAGTCGCGGCCGCACCTCAAGATCCCGGCGGCGTACCGGACGCGCAGCCTGACGGCCGGCACGCTCATGGGGCCCGGGCGGGTCACGGTGCCGCCGCTGGACTGGACCGAGGAGGGCGGAAGGTCGTACTACCAGGTGGCGCACCTGGGCGCCGACCTGTGCGGGCACCCGGGCATCGTGCACGGCGGCTACCTAGCCACGATGCTAGATGAGGGCCTGGCGCGCTGCTGCATGCCGGCGCTGCCCAACAAGATCGGCATGACGGCCAGCCTCAGCATCAACTACCGCGCCCCGACCCCGGCGGGCTCCTACGTCATCCTCCGCTGCACCACCACAAAGGTCGAGGGCCGCAAGGCCTATGTCGAGGGCCGCATTGAGACGCTGGCCGGCCCAGGCGAGACGCCCGTCGTGCTGGCCGACGCCACGGCCCTGTTTATCGAGCCGCGGCAGGCTGCGGTTAGTCACGCCCTTGCAAGATTTTCTCCGACGACGAAGCGCTAACTCAAGTCACGGTGGGCATATGTGTAGGCCATGAAGGCGGTTATGCCTGCGGTCGCCGCTTAGATGGCCGTATATCTTTGGATTTAAACGGTTGGCAATGTTCTACGGGATTTCCATGCTACAACTTCCCCAATCTAGGTAGCTTTCTACAGCCAGATTGGCGAATGATGTGTTTGTATAAAGGATAGATCATGGTAGACGGTGCTTGGCCGAATTTATTTGTTTTGCTTTATCTTTGCTTATTCCTCCCTCTTCCGATTTCGGTCCGACCAAAAGGAGCGCATTGCTGTGGCGGCCGTCGGGGCGGGCCAGGCTGCCATGCGCGGCAACCCCACTGTCGTCATCGTCTTTAGCGATTGTGCAAGGGTGCTATGGCCTATCAGGAGCAGCCAATTCCACCGAGCGCGCCAGGCGGGCGCGCAGTAGCTTGGCGGTGGCCCGGCCTTGCCAGCTCCAACACCAATTGCGCCTTTGAATGTGCCGGGGCTGGCAGAATGGAGAGAGCCCTCCATGCTGCCACTCCCTTGGCTTGGGCGTGCCCGCTCGTGGGGCCGTAAATGACGGCAGAATAAAAAGTGTTTTGCGTATAAACCGGGCTAACGAGTCCCGGTTGTCATGAATCGCGGGGTAGGACGTGCCGTTGCTTCACCCTCACTACTTGCGACGAACTTGGTTGAACGGGCACAAACGGACAAAAGGAAATACATACAGAACGAAAGGAGCCAGGTTCCTTCTAGCACCGGTTATCGTATTGTCGAGAACTCCCTGTGGGACACAAGACTGAAGAAATGGCGACGTAAGGTGCATTCCCAACACACTAACCCATCCCACCGTATCCCCAAGCCAAGCCCCCTAGAGCGACAACTTACACCTAACTCTCCCAAAAAAAAAAAAACAGCAACATCACCTGGCACGAGGGCCTGACGAGGCGAGAGCGCGCCGAGCTGCGCGGGCAGCGCGGCTTCACGATATGGTTCACGGGCCTGTCGGCGTCGGGCAAGTCGACGGTGGCGACGGCGCTGGAGCAGCACCTGCTGCACCTGGGGCTGGCCGCGTACCGGCTCGACGGCGACAACGTGCGCTTCGGGCTGAACCGGGACCTGGGCTTCTCGGAGCGCGACCGCAACGAGAACATCCGCCGCATCGCCGAGGTGGCCAAGCTCTTTGCCGACTCGGCGACCGTCGCCATCACGTCCTTCATCTCGCCCTACCGCGCCGACCGCCAGACGGCCCGGGAGCTGCACGCCGCCACCGCCGCCGCATCGGCGCAAAGTGGTGGTGGCGACGACGCGCTCGAGTTTGTCGAGGTCTACGTCGACATCCCCATCGAGGTCGCCGAGCAGCGCGACCCCAAGGGCCTCTACAAGAAGGCCCGCGCCGGCGAGATCAAGGAGTTCACCGGCATCTCGGCCCCCTACGAGGCCCCACTCAACCCCGAGATCACCATCAGGACCCACGAGAAGTCGGTCGAGGAGTGCGTCGCCCAGATCGTGCAGTACCTGCAGGAGAAGGGCCTGGTCAAGGCGGCCGGCAGCAGCTGAAGGGCGTGCAGCGCGGTAGACTCTCTTTCCCCCCCGTCGAGGGCGGTATTCCTCCAGGAAAATGAAAACAAAAAGATTTAGACCCACGCACACATACACATGCATTGCGCATAGATAAACATGAAGAAACAAGACATATGGCAAACCGGAGGGAAATAAACAAGAATCAAATGTATGCATGCCAGTCCCTGACAGTCGGCTGTTCGAGCAGTTGTCACCGGCTGGCTCCAGAGCCTCGCATTTTTTTGTTCCATGCGAGTGACAACGCTGCTAAGGAAATTCGAACTCGTAGTACACGTAAGGAGTGTACTCGTTCCCGTCCCCGAACCCAACTCCTGCCGCCGCCATCTCGGATGTCAAGGCGGCGTCGTCCTGCTGGATCTTGCCGCGCTTGTCCCTGCCAAACGCGTTTCCGCCCAGGTACGAAAAGGACGAGTCCAACGCGGTCCTGACCTTTTTGACCAGCTTGGGGTTCGTCTGAGGGTCGCCATGTCAGTCTACATTTCTTTTCGCAAGGCTCTGCACACTCTTGCGTGCAGAGCCATGGGGAGGGCCGGTCTGCTACATACCTTGACAAGCGCAGATACAAACTCGAGAGGCAGGCCGTAGCGCAAGACGGTCTCGACAAAGACGCGCAGGGCCATGACGTGGGCCCAGACCATGGCGCCCTCGCTCCAGCCGGTCCTACCGAAACGGAGCGCCTCGCCAAAGACCTTCCTCTCCTCCTTGGCGACACGGTCCAGCTCGCGCTTCTCCTCCTCCTGGCCGCCCTCGACGTATTTGTACTGGCGCGGGGTCCATTTCTGCTCGCGGCACTTTTGCAGGAACTCGGCGCTGTGCTTCTTGAATGTGGTGACGGCGAAGAGGGCGAACTCGTCGTCCTGCGCCACCTCGATGGCCGACCGGGGCACCACCATGGGCGAGAGCTCCTCGTAGGTCTTGAGGAAGTCTTTGCGCATCATCGAGGGCACCACGATGAGGTGCGTCTCTAGGTACTCCGAGTCCTGCACCAGGAGAGAAGGCTTGACGATCGGGGTCAGGGACTTTGTGGACAGGTTTCCGCTATCAAACCAAAGCAGCGTGTCAGCGATCCAAGAGTCCCCCAGTAGGGTTAGGTGTGGATGGATGGTGGTGCTTGTTCATACGTCTGTTTCCGCTGCAGAGACGCCAGGTTCGTCTTGGCTGAATTGTATTGGTTGAACTTGCCCTTGACGTCATTGTCGATGTTGACCAGCTCCTAGAAAACAGGCGACCGAGATTGAGGTCAGTTGAGAAGATTAGGTGTAGAGCAATGCGAGTCCAGGTAAGCCAGGACGCCGTCCATCAAGGGTGGGCAATACCTTCTGCAGAGTGTCGATGAGCTCGCCGAGAGGTCGGTCCGCTCGGTATCGGACCTTGTTCCAGCTAAAGGTGCTGATGTAGTGGTCGGTGGGTTCTGGAAGTACTGTCAGCCTCTGCGAAAGGGGGTCGCGATCGCGC